GCTGCTAAGGCCATGTGACAGTTGTAGAAATGAGGATTGTAGTTGGCATGAGTGTTTCTGTCATACTTGGTTAAAATTTTGTTTACAGCCGGGTGGTAGTGGCACACGCCTTTAATCCCAGTACTTGGGAGGCAGAAGCAGGTGGATCTCTGAGTTTGAGGCCAGCCTGGTCCACAGAGTTGAGTTCCAGGACAACATAAGCTACACAGAAAACCCCTGTCTCCAAAAACAACAAGAACAACAAAAGTGTTTACAGATATTTGTGTTTCCTTTTCTTGATTTATCATGTAATATAAGATAAGAGAATGTCAGTGATTCCCATATTTTAGTTTGAGATAGTAAGAATGTTCCTCGAGGGACATTATTACCAGCTAAAAGTTAATACCATGTTAGGTGTAATTATGACCTGGTTATTGTTTTCATTTGTAAATTAAGCATGATATAAGGAGATATGATTGTGTGTTAAGTTGAAAGAGGTGAACTTGTAATGGCTATTCTTTCTTGTCAACTTGACAAATCTGGAATTTAACTAAAATGCAAATGACTGGGCATAGATGGAAGGGATTGTTTTCTTGATTAAGTAATTTGAAGTTGCAAGCCCCACTATGAGGTTGAAAGATTATTTGAGGTGGGAAGATCCACCTTTAATAGGGACCACACCTTCTACTGGCAGCCTATAAAGAAGGCCTCAACAAGGTCACAAGAGTCTGTGTACTGTGTTGAGCTTACTGATCTTATCTCTGGTGTGAATGTGGGAAGCTCACTTGCCTTATCAATATCTACTTTAGTCTGAGGAAGATTACATTGAAAGAAGAAGAGAAGTTGAAAGCATCTTGAAGAAAAACTCAGATTGGATATGGGATTGGTCAAGTCGGCCAGAAAACATCCCCCCCAAGTAAGTTTTTTTCAGTATCGTGGGATGGGCTCTACTCTTGACAAGAGGACACATTGATTGGTAATTTCTTTCCACTCCAGAGAGTTCCTTTTTAAACACCCGAAGCGCACAACTACTCTCAGCATGAGAAACACCAGCGTTATGAAGAAAGGGGGTATTTTCTCAGCAGACTTTCTGAAGGTTTTCCTTCCGTCTCTGTTGCTGTCTCATCTGCTGGCCATTGGATTGGGGTAAGTGAATACTAACAGGGTGGGCCTTGTCAATTCTAGGCCCCAGCAATATATGTTTAGATTGGTTATGTGTGTGTGTGTGTGTGTGTGTGTGTGTGTGTGTGTGAGAGAGAGAGAGAGAAGAGAGAGAGAGAGAGAGAGAGAGAGAGAGAGAGAGAGAGATCATTATAGTTTAAGCATTTTCACAGTCTTACTCCTAAGTCACTGTGATGTCAAGAGGTAAAGAATTTCCTGTGGAAGGCCCTTGCCTCTTTATCCACCATATCTTACACAGAAGTTCTCATATCCGGCCTCTTGTGCCACCTGTATTGTGGGTAGATGGTTCTGTTGAATTCAAAGCTCTGTAGTGATAGCATTTAGGGTTGGTTTGTACTTTTTGTGATAGGGGAGTCCTGGGGTTTAAACCTGGGAACTTGTATATGGTAGATAGGTGCTCTGTCATTGAGTTTCAATTCCTGCTATCATATTTGGTTTTTTTGTTTTGTTTTTTTTTTGTTTTGTTTTGTTTTTCGAGACAGGGTTTCTCTGTGTAGCTTTGGAGCCTATCCTGGCACTCGCTCTGGAGACCGGGCTGGCCTCGACCCCACAGAGATCCACCTGCCTCTGCCTCCCGAGTGCTGGGATTAAAGGCGTGTGCCACCAACGCCTGGCTCTGCTATTATATTTGTTTCTTCTTCTTTTTTGTACTTTGTCTTTTGTGCTATTAGAATATAACTGAAAAAACCTGAAATTAAATTTTAATTGAAATTAAGAAAAATTAGATCAATATGAAATGCATATTTGATGATTAAAACACTTGATAAAGATTAGTCATACTTTATCAAGTATAAGGAGGCTAGTTCCCTTCTATAAGCTATATAAGCTTCTATAACCATAGTAGCCTGCCCTGTTGAACTGTGCAAAGTCACCTGAGAATTATGATACCTGGTTGACTGCCATTCCTTTTCTGTCTAGGATCTATATTGGGAGACGCCTGACAACTTCCACTAGCACCTTTTGACGGAAGAATTGGATCTGACTTTTGTTCACACAGTGAGGATTCATGTCTGAACTGTGACAGATAACTGAAGAGCTAGCATGATCCTTGGGTGTCTGCACTACATGTGTTTATTTGTTCTGTAAATGCAGTGTTCCTGATTTAGTGAAACAGAATAGACTCTAATATCATGACTTCTAATTATACCTATGGGATCAATTAATAAGCATGTCAGACTGATGCCTACTGTAGCATTTATTAGTACATTTTCTTTGAATATTAGATATAAATAGTATAAATAATTTTAATATACTAGCAATGGTATATTTAAAAATGATCTATAATTGTAATCTAGTTAAGACACTTTACACTTCAAAAGAATGAGTAAGTGATATCAAAATCATTAAAGGGTTTGTCCCAAAGGAATATTGTGGCCTTATAATCCTATTACATAGTAGAAATTGCTACCTGGTTAATTAAATGGGCACGGGTTATCTGTAAAGATCTCTTACTATGTGAATTAAGTAGCAAGTAGAAGCTAAGGTTACTCACAGATCCCACTGTGCAGACCCCACCTCTTCTTGCTTTGTAGGATGAGGATTCCAGCCTCATTGTCTGCCATTACTGCCTTGGGCAGTCAGTTTTGTTGCAGGCACCTTCATCACTCTGCTGGATTTAATCCCCATTGTTGTACTTAAATTTTGTGTGCTTTTAAAATCAGCTGTATTGTAAGCAGATCTGTCTATTTTAAAAGACTAGAAATGAGAAGAAAATAAGTCTTTGCCAAATCCTTTGGAGATTATTGGATTTGCATATGGGTTAATCCATACCCAGAGATTCTGTCAACCCAGGCATATGCCCAGTCTTCCTCTTTTCTATAGCATGTTCTTAAAGGCTGCCTCCTTGACATGCTGTATATATCCTGTTGTATTTGTTTCATTGTCCCACACTTACTCAGGTGAGTTCAAATAAAAGTAACGTTTTAACAGTCTTTTGTTTATATTTATAATTATTACTGGATATAGCTCATATCCCTTTCATGTGGAAAAAGATGGTGGGGTGGTACCAGATTGTCTTTCTTTTTTTCTGAAACAGTCTTATTAATGTAGCCAGGTGGTGGTGCACACCTTTAATCCAACACTTGGGAAGCAGAGGCAGCTAGATCTCTGAGATTGAGGCCAGCCTGGTCTACAGAGTGAGTTCCAGGACAGCCAGGACTGTAACAGAGAAATTGTTTAAAAAAACCACAAATGAGTGGTGGCCTGGTATGGTGGCTTACCCCTTTAATCCTAGAATTTGAGAAGTAGAGGTAGGTGAATCATTGTGAAGTCCAAGCTACCAGCCAGGTCTACATAGTGAGATATGTCTTTAAAAAATGAAAGTGGCACATCCCACTTTTTGTTTGTTTGTTTTTCAAGACGGGGTTTCTCTGTGTAGCCTTGGCCATCCTGGAACTTGCTCTGTAAACTAGGCTGGCCTTGAACTCACAGAGATTTGCCTACCTCTTCCTATCAAGTGCTGGGATTAAAGGCATGCACCACCACTGCCTGGCTGGCCACAGCAACTCTTATGTAAGAAACACATTTGATTGGGGCTTGGTGACAGTTTCAGAGGTTTAGTTCATTATCATCGTGGCAGGGAGCATGGCAGCACACAGGCAAATATGATGCTGGAAAAGTAGCTGAGGGTTCTACATCCATATCCCCCTGTAGCAGGAAGACCAGAGCCATTGAGCCTGGCTTGGGCTCCTGAAACCTCAGGGTGGTGGTGGAGACATTCTTATTCAAACCCCACACAGTCCAAGGCAAAACAGTGTTGCCTGCCTGTTTGACATCTGAGTGAGCACACCTATCCCCTCTGGTGCCATTCTCTACTGGCCTCAGTGTCCAGCTTCTTTAACCTTCCTACATAGACTGAATTCCCAAGAATTTCCAGGCTTCAGTGCAGCACTAATTAGCGCTGCTGAGAGAGGCACCTGGCTTCATAGCCCTTCCAGGTTCTCAGCCTCTCCAGTGTGCAGATGGCAGACAGCCATTATTGAACTGCCCAGCCCCCACTGTGTGAGCCTGAGAAAGGTCCTGTTTGATTTGGTGGCCTCCTGTTCTTCTCTGACAAGCCTTAATACACTCACTGCTCCTCAAGAAGTCAGCTGTTGGTGAGGTCTGAGGTGCTTAGCTTTTAGCTGCTGCAGTTTCTGGCTTCCTTCCACACTTGACCCTGGACATCGAAGAGTAAGAAATTGTTGTTGCAGGGCACCAGTACACAAATCCCAGACAAAGAAAGCAGCCTGTACTGGGCATTAGGCTAGGATCACAACTGAGACATTTGGGTTGCTAGGTCCAAACCAAGATCACATTACCCAGTGGAAGTGATTTCATAAAACCTGCATCTGTGCCCTTTTGTCAGTGGGCCTCGATCGGGGTCTTCCCTTGGTGTTGTGAAGGCTCAGACTCTGCCAGGGAAGTAGTACTCCTTGGAGTGTCATGCCTGTGTCCCAACCCACAGCACAGGTCTAGCTGCCCTGACCACTGGTGAGGCATGGGGACCACCAGGCCCAGTGGCATTCCAGGTGGCTCAAGGAGCTATATGTCTCTTCCAGACATGCTTACAGGTCTATGGGGAGTTTACTTACCTAGGAAGGGTCTCCCTGGCCATCTAGTGGTTTTCCTTATTCACCAGAAGTTTCAAAAGAATCTGGAATCTTTTGAAAACTAGACAGATACACAGTTCTATAGCTAGTTCTATCTTGCAGTGAGATTAAAATCTTAGTTTTGATACCTATAGTGGACAAACTCCAGAAAGACTAAGAATTAACATTGCTAGTGACTGTAATGTTCAACTTTATACTTCCTAGCTGGCCATGACTTGGTAGGATCTAGACTCACCTAAGAGACAAACCTTCATGCTGACCATTCAGCTTTTTATTAGATCAGTCAGGTGCCTTAAGCAAGGCAAAACAACAACACATCTTTACATAGGGCCCAGGAAAGTGCTATCTTAAACAACACAGATTCAAAATAAACAAGCACAAGAATATGAAAATATTTAACCCCCAGGTATCTGTAGGAAGAAGAGACTGGTTCATGAAGCCATGGCACAGACAAAGGAGCGTGCTGCTAAAATAAAAGGAACTGATTGATTCCCAGGATATAGCAAGTAAAACATGACTATTAAAGGGGTGCTTTTGAGCTAGGAAATCTGGTAGCTGTAAAACAGGTAGTTTCTGATGGGTATGTTCCCATCCTTGCAACTCTGGGCAAGTTGATGGATAGGACAAGGAAGAAGGGATGTAGCTTAGTTCCTGGGTCCATCCAAATTTAATGTGAGTAGCTGCTACTTTCCTACTGGGGCACTTTCTCTTAGATCCCAGACTCTGCTGGGAAGAAGCCAATCTGCCCAGTGGAGAGGCCTACCTGCAATTCAATGGCTGGGAAGCATGCTGGCCAGCTCCCCCTGCTGACACAGCTGACAGTCTTCTAGTTCCAGCTGATGCCACCTGGAGCTGAGTCCATAGTACTGCTGAAGCCAAAAGAAATACTCATTCTTAGGAGAAAAGAGCTGAAGACAGTGTGGATTTTGGTCAAAATCTGAGGTGAATAGGCCAGAAGTGAATGAGATGTGATGGCTACACTAGGAGGTGGAGTGGGCAGACAGGAAGGAGGAATGGGAGAGCAGCCCTACGTATACAGGGGCACTTCACTGAACTACAAGCGAATAGCAAAACCATGCTGCAGGGACTGGGAGACAAAAGCAGGAGCCCAGTAGCTGGCAGTAGTATCTGGACTAGATCCTACAAGGACATAATAGTAAACAGGTGTTTCTTGCTTCAGTAAAGTTTCTTTCTTATAAGGGAAGGCACTGTGAAATTAGGTTTTGGATATTAATATGGAGTAAAGAAGTAAGTTAAGGGTAATAAAAGCCCAGTCTTACCTGTTCTACAAAGAAATCAGGCTGGAGCAGGCTGCTTGAAGCCTATGGTAGAATCTAATGATGTTTGAAAGATGAAATGAGTCCAGCCAACTCTGCTTAGGGCACCCCCAGACACAGTGACACTAAAACAGTAGACCCTACATTTAGTGTCACACTCTAATGAGAAAAGCCTGGCTCACTGGAGAGGTCAACAATTAAGGGAAGATAAGTCTGGAACTTGCCAGAAAGGAAGAGCTCAGATAGCCACGGAAGTTGGAGACAGCTGTGTGCCCCTCCTGAAGGGCTCCGAGCTGGCTAAACTGGAACCCTGTGAGTGAGCCATGTGAGCTGTGAGATCATGACCACATAAATTTTTTTTGCCCACACCATAAAGCAAGTACCCTTCAATCCACACATGTTTGGTCAGATAGGAGTATTCTTCCTTACAGAATTTCAAGTTAATAAAAAAGGGGATTATGGGAGTGGAATATTACCATTAGGCAAACTACAGAACTGACTAATGGAAAACAATGAGAGCCTGTGAAAGCAAGAAATGTTCTGGGGCTGGCAGGGTGGCTGGGTGGATAAAGGTGCTTGAGCTAAGCCTGATGAGTCCTGTCCCTGGGCCTGAGAGAATAGATTCCTACAAGGTGGGCTCTGACCTCCACAAATGTACCCAGACCCCTTAAATTTTTTTTTTTTTTTAAAATATGTTCTGGTGTTTTTCTCATGAGACGCTCAATCAGAAACAGTAGCTTTATGCTAAAGAAACCTGGCAGGTATGTCAACTGCTGGTTTGATGCTGAGGTCAAATAAGGTTTTTTGTTTTTGGGTTTTTTTTTTTGCCTAAAATGCATAGTTGCAATTTAATAATTAGACAAAACTAGACAGGTCTAAATTAAAGGGGGTTCTATGAAACAGTTGTCCAAACTCTTCAAAATTGTTATGATCATGAGAGACAGAGACCAGAAGACAAGAATGCACCGTGCACCTAGACAAGGAACATTTAAGAACCAGTAAAACTGGGGCTGGAGAGATGGCTCAGAGGTTAAGAGCACTGGCTGTTCTTCCAGAGGTCCTAAGTTCAATTCCCAGCAACCACATGGTGGCTCACAACCATCGTTATGAGATCTGGTGCCCTCTTCTGGTGTGCAGATATACACGGAAGCAGAATGTTGTATACATAATAAATAAATGAAATTAAAAAAAAAAAAAAGAACCAGTAAAACCAAGGCTGTGTGGGTGCATGAGACAGTACTACACTGACACCAGGGAAGCTGAGTGTTCTTTGACACCTATTTAGTAGTCCCACAGCAAAACAAAGTAAGTGGTGCCTTTTACTCACATTGATCATGGGGCCAGCAGCATCAGAACATTTCTGGAAATGGAGGTTCTGGGGTACATGCCTTCCAGTCAGAGCTGTGTCCTTGAGCTGCTGTGAACAGAATGGAGAAATTCTGTGAAGTCATAGGTGCAGCTACCCTTACATAACACTGGGTTGTCAAAAAAACCAAGAGCACATTCAAGAAATAATTACAAGGGTCAGAAGTAGGGCAAGACCTTACCCCATACTCCTTTAAGGACCTCTATACAGTACTTGTTTAAAACTTAAGAAAGAAACACACCAACCAGGTGGTGGTTGCAGGCTTCTAATCCCAGCATTTGGGGTGGGGAATGGCAGAGGCAGGCAGATCTCAGACTTTGAAGTCAGCCTGATCTACAGAATGAGTTCCAGAACTGCCAGGTACACAGAGAAGAGGAGGAAAAGGGGGGCGGGGAGAAAAGAAAAAAACTGAATCTTTGCTGGGCATGGTTGCACACACCTTTAAACCCATCACTCTAGAGGCAGAGGCAGGCAGATCTCTGTGAGTTTGAGACCAGCCTGGTCTACACAGTGAATTCCAGGGCAGCCAGGACTATGTACAGACCCTGCCTCAAAAACAAAACAAAACAAAACAAAAAACCCAAAAATCAAAAAAATACAAAACAACAACAACCAAAAAACAACAACAACAAAAACCCAAAACAAAACAAAACAAAAACCCACATCTCTAAAACTGGGCAGTGGTGGTGGCAGCTGCCTGTAATTCCAGTACTTAGGATATGAAGATGGAAAGATCACAAGTTCAAGCCAGCCTGGGAAACACAGCAAGATAAAAACAGAAGGTCTGGGGCATGTAGCTCAGTTGGCATTGCAAAGCCCTGGGTTTGATCCCCATCACCACATAAACCAGGTGTGGTGACACTCCAGAGTAGAGACAGGAGGTTCACAGTCATCCTTGGTTTACATAGTGAGTTTGATGCTGGCCTGAGACACAGGGACTAAATGGGTTTGTTTTGAGACATTGTGTCTGTAGCCCTGGATGTTGTGGAACTCACAACATAGATGAGGCTGACCTCAAATTCACAGAGATCTGTCAGCTTCTACACCCCAGAGCACTGGGATTAAAGGTATATGCCACAGTGTTCAGCCTTCCTATCCCTCCCTCACCCCGAGGCATGATTTCAAATGAGGCATGATTTCATTGTGTATCATGCTGGCATCAAACTCATGGTGATCCTCTTGCCTCAGCCTCTCAAGTACAGGCATACTTTACAACACCTAATTCACCTAGTAATCTGAAAATAAGTATTACTGTGATGGTGGAATTTGGCTCAGACAAGTCACAGAGCCTGTCTGCTCTGTGACAATGCTACTACAACCTCTCAGTCACGGCTGTGCTCCTCCCAGGGTAGCATTTGGTGTTGTGCCATTGTCTGTACAGTGCCCTCCAGCTACAAGAGCCAGGAGTCACGCTGTTCAAGCCATGGCATGAGGTCTGAGTAATAGGACAGTTTTGTGCCTAAGTACCTTGCACCTGAAATGTGCAAGACCCAAAGTCAAACCACAAACTTGGTGAAAATCAAAAACTTTCTAAAGTATTTTCAAACAACTGCAGAATGAACATGCTGCCTTCAGTCACTCATCAGCTCCGGACTGCCACCAAAGTCTCATTTCACTTAATTATGGTCTCAAAACAGCCACAAAATTGAAGAGTCAAAAAGCTTCTTTTTCCGGGTAATGCTCCTGCACACCAAAGATTTTGTTTATCAATGTAACACTTTTTACTTCACGATACTCTTAGGAGTTCTAATCCCATCATTTTGATAGCGCATGGTCCTGTCTATTATGGGTAAATTTAGGTACTAGTTTCCTTTTTTTGTTTGTTTGTTTGTTTTGAGACAGGGTTTCTCTGTGTAGATTTGGAGCCTGTCCTGGAACTCACTCTGTAGATTAGGCTGGCCTCGAACTCAGAGACCCTGCCTGCCTCTGCCTCCCAAGTGCTGGGATTAAAAGCATGTGCCACCAATGTCCAGCTCCATTTTAATTTTTATTTACCTATATCTATATATATTTATAGACAGGGTTTCTCTGTAGCTTTGGAGCCTATTCTGGAACTCAATCTGTAGACCAGGCTGGTCTTGAATTCAGAGATCTGCTTGCCTCTGCCTCCCAAGTGCTGGGATTACAGCTGTGTGCCACCACTGCCTGGCTAGTTTCCATTTTTAAAATGTAACTATTAGTTTTTTACTTTAGTTTTTTACTTGAATATTTACATAAAATCATTGTGCAGGACCACTTTGGAGAGAGAGCTCCAGGCCACATTGACTCTTCCTGGAGACATCATCATTCTTCTTCTGAGCATTTCCTTGTTACTTAGCCTAAAAAAAAAAATCTTTCTGCTAGTCCTCTGAGTTTACTCAGGAAATGCATGTTGGACTTGAGGCAAAACAAGTGATGAAATTATAGGCAGGAGCAGGTAGACTGGGTCAGAATTCAGGTTTTTATCATTTTTGTTTATTTTTTAAAGTTCTTTTTAAATATTTATTTATTTATTATATATACTGTTCTGCCTGCATGTATGCTTGCACACCAGATCTCATTATAGATGGTTGTGAGCCACCATATGGTTGCTGGGAAATTGAACTCAGGACCCCTGGAAGAGCAGCCAGTGCTCTTAAACTCTGAGCCATCTCTCCAGCCCCTGTTTTTATTTATTTATTTTTGAGAAGGGATCTCTTTAGGTAGTTCAGGCTGTCCTAGAACTTGCTATGTGGATGAAGCTGCTCTTGAACTGCCTGCACGAAGCAAGTCCCTGTAAGGGACTTGTACCACTACCTGTACCACCCACACCTCAGTGTCACTGGGCACACAGCTAGCTCTCCAGCATGGAACTTTTGCCCTTTCACTTCTCTAGCCAGCACCCAGACATGCTGCACACAGAGAGAGACTGGTGGTACGCAACATCCTTGGGTACTTTCTTTATCTGCAATGTCTAAGGACTAGCAGCTAGCCATACATTAGCTAACCCACACAAAAACCTTGGCTCTTTAGATTTTAAAGATACAACAGCCGGGAGGGGCCTAACAGCACCTGTATAGAATAATGGTGTCGGGCACATAGCAGGCACTCACCATTTCTCCACTGGGTCTCACTATGAGCTGGGCTCCCACTGCAGGCCCTCGGCTAGAAGCCAGCTGCTACACTTAATCTCTGCATAAGACTTTCCAGGTATGGTAACTGGGACAAGACCTAAGAGTAACAGTACAGAACAGAGTCAGGTACCCCCATTCCTCCATTTCCAACAGCTGGGAAGACTGCCCCAGGATCACTGGGAGTTTCCACTTGGCATCTGTTTTACTGCAACTGATAGCTTTCGAGCTGTGTAGCTCTGGCTGTCAGGTAACTCACTCTGTAGACCAGGCTGGCTTCAAACTCAAAAAGACCCACCTGCCTCTCTGCCTCCCCGAGTGCTGGGAATAAAGGTGGGCCGCCCGGTCTCTTTAGCCTTTTCTTCTAATTAATTAAACAAATTGAGACAGGGTCTCACCATGTAATCTCTGCCTCCTGTGTGTTGGGATCAAAGGTGTGTGCCATCATGCTTAGGTACCCCCATCCCCCAGGGTCTCATGTAGCCCCAGGTTAGGTTAACTCATTATATAATTAGTGGATGACCTTGAACTGAAGCTCCTCCCATGCATGTGGATTGCATTCCTTCAGGCAAAAATGCCTGTTAGTATAGGGTGGTTGTGGCAGTACACACCTTTAATCCCAGCACTATGGAGGCAGAGGCAGGAGGCTCTCTGAGTTTGAGGCTAACTTAGACTATAATAGAGTTTCAGGCTATCGAGGGCTAGGCAGTGACACCTGGTCTCAAAAGGAAAAATCTCACCTGAATGCCAAACACACTGGTACTATTGTGAGGCAGAGGCATTGAAGACTACTGTAGTCTGATACCAACCAGTATGCTCCACAGTGATGAGTTCCCGGCCAGTGCCGCACACTAAGACCTCTCTGTCTTACTACCCTTCAAAACAAACCCGCATGACTTTTCTTGTCTAGGTCCTCAGCCCAGAAGCATAGCTGTAAAACATTTGACAGAAACTGCTTTCTTAAAGGGGCCATACTAGAGAAAGAAATGCTAGGCATTCCAAGTTTGAATGCAAGAGTTTAAACTTGAAAACACTTTAGGCTAGGCATGGTGACATGTTCCTGGGAGACTGAAGCAGAGAGGTCTCAAGTTTGAGGTCATCCTAGGCTGTAACAGTAAGAATCTTGTATGGGAGCCAAAAGCCTTCAGAGTACCTATTTGTCAGAAGTGAATCCTTTATACCAACACTCATAACTGCATTAAAAGCACCTGTTATCCTACACTACAGCAATGCAGGAGTCCAGAGGAGACAGCCTGGACTCCCTGGAAAAGACCCCCAAAGGTTCAGGCCTGTGAGGTGAGGCAACACCTACTCCAATGCAAGGGGACAGCTAAACTTAGACGAGATGCATGCTCCCCTCCACTGTGCCTCCTCTACAAGTGGATGGCAGGCAAAGTTTTCTAAAATGTTATCAAACTTTTTGGCAGAACAGATGGCACACCAACAGTCCTGCTATATTAGGACCATTTTTTTTGTGGGTACTGGGACTGATGCTTATAACTTGACATTCTCTCAGACACTGTAAACTGCCACAATCAAGATCCAGGACTTTTTTTTTTTTGTGACAGCCACCTCACTATGTACACCAGGATGGCCTCAAACTCAAAAGAGATCCACCTTTGCCACCTTAGTTCTGGGACTAAAAGCCTGTGCCACTACACCTAGCTACTTTATTTTTTTTGAGGCAGGGTTTCAGTATGTATTCTTGGTTGGCCTAGTACTAGTACATAAAAGAGACTAGCCTGGAACCCACAGAGATGTTTGCTCCTCCCTCCTGTGTGCTGGGATTGGGGGCATGTGCCACCATGCCTGGCAGAGTGTGACTACCTTTAAGTGGAAGTACTTGCAGGCTCTCAGTCTCCATGTGAGTTAGTTCCTGTGATGGTGAGGTATGCTGTGCTTGCCGAACTCATCTACTTCGGCAGGCATAGTCCCCACCCCCACCCCCACCTGCAACAATCATGGGTTGACTCTGATTTTTTTGGGGGGCTTCTTTGTGTAGCCCTAGTTGGCCTTGAACTCAGATATCCACCTGCCTCTGGGATTAAAGTCATGCACCACCACTGCCAGACCAACTGTTGGTACTTTTACATTTCTTTTTTTTAAACTTTTACATTTCTTGTCAGGAAATCTTGATCCTGATAGCCAAGGTGTTTTAAAATTAATCATAGAAACAGGGGGTATCATATCCCAACTATAGTATTTGAGTTCTACTGACTGAAAGACAGTATGAAATCTGGCATGCATATAATCTTAGCAATATTTTAAAAGCATGTGTTCTTCAAAGCACTTAAAAAAAAAGTAAACACACACGACTTGTAGTTTCTCTGGGGTCTACTTTAAACCAAGTGTTAATCTGATAGCAGCAATTCTGTTGCTTTTTCATGTAATTTTCTTTTTCAGAGGTGAACCCAAGATGAAGTTTCTACAGAAACCAAGTGGCAATTTTGTATAGTTACATTTAGAATCTGAAGTTGTGCACAAGCTCAACCATTCTGCCAAAGGCAAAAAATTCTCAATTTGTTAAGTGCAATATTCTGAATAATTTCATTATGTGCAACTGAAACAAATAAAGACTGCAATGGCATTTGGGTTTAAAAACACTTCACAGTGTGTTGTGTTTATTAAGTAGCTCCACAGAAGGTGTGATGGCAGGTACAGTGGGTGAGTAAAGCTGCCTGAGCCTGCTCGGGCGTATCCTTGCACCAGTGGTGTTGCAGCCCACTGGGGGGCTCCAAGGTCCTCCAGAGAGGACCGTGGGTGGTGGCCACACCATGTCCAGGTTAAAGCCCAGGGATGGATGGCAGAGATAGAAGGAAGAGCTGGAGAGAGATGTGATGATTTTTTTTTCCTCTTGGATGTTAATTTTTTGGTCTATAAATTGGAAAGGAAGGCTCAGACTTAAATAAATACATTTGAGTAACGGCCTTTATTGAACAAAGTCCACCAATTCAGCTTCGAGTAGGTTTTCCCTTCAGCAGCAGCATTCATCTCTCCCAAGACTCCAGCTGAGACCCCTTCTTCTCCTGTGTCTATGAGGGAAGTGGAAGTGCGTCACTATTCTCAATGGAGAGGACAATGCCATTTCTTTGACGGGAAAACAACCGGCTTAACTATGCAAGACAACACTTGGTCCTCCAGTCAGTTTCCTTAATTAATTTTGTCCTGGAATATATACAAGTTATTGGTGGCAGCTACAGCAATAATGCTCTCCATGGGGTGCCAGGCTGTGTGAAGGATCTTCTTATTGAAGTCCAAACTGTCCACGCTAATCTCGTCCTTCTTTCTCTTACCCCCTGTACATACTTTGCGGGGCTTCAGGCAGGCTCGGGGTTTGCTGTTCTCTCTTGAGGCTTCCAGCGTAACATCTCTCCGAGTGTTTCTATCAAACATTCTAAAGAAGTTGTTGTAGGAGCCCGTCATAATGGCACTGTTCAAGAGAGAGAGGGAACACTGAATACCCAGCAGAGCAAGAAGAACCCAGGGCAATGGCATAAAGTGCAGACCCTCCCGAGGCCCAATTTCTACACTACCAGGAAGAAACAGTGCAGATTCTCCAGTGAACCCCCTATATTTTCATGTCCAAGAGAAAGTCACAGACCCATCATTTTAAAAACATTCTTATAAAGGCCAGAAGAGTGTCAGATCCCTAGCAGTGGTTCGCACAGGAGGAAGTGAGCTGTCTGAAATGGGGGCTGGGGATAGAACTCCTCCATCTCTCCTAATTAATGTACAGAAGGGGAGGAAAGAGGAGAGACAGAGAGGGGAAGAGCAGGGTAGGGATAGGAAAGGGAGGAGGAAGGAAATTAACTTTGTCCAAGTCACTTTTAGTCTCAGCATTTGGGAGGCAGAGGCAGACATCTCTCTCAGGTTGAGGCCAGCCTGGTCTACATAGTGAGTTCCAGGACACCAAGGTCTATGCAAAAAACAAACAAACAACCCCCCCCAAAAAATCCCCCATCCCCCAAAACCCTATCTTTCTTATTTTCGAACTGATAGTTACCATAAGCCTGACGACCTATCTCATCAACAATTACAGTCAAAACTGATCATGTCAGTCACATTTCCTAATGGATGTTAACTCAGTTATCAAATAATGTGACTAATTTAATTTCTAAGTTTCTTTTAAAGCTAGGTACAGTGGATAGTGCACATCTATAATCTTACCACCTAGACAGCTGAAGCAAGAGTCAGAGTGAGTATTTGGTTTGCAAGCTGATTTAAGTAAACGTGTGCCCATGTATGCACGTAGGCCTGAGGCTGAACAAGTTTCTCCCTTAATTGCTCTCCACTTTACATACCGAGGCAGGGTTTCTCACTGAATCAGACTGTTCTGATTCCAACAAATCAAGCTGTCCAGCTTGCCCCTGAGATCCCATGTCTGCTGTCCCAGTGTTGGGAATTATTTTCCACTGTTGGGGTTATAAGCAGCTGCCATACAGTGAGGATTCCCCCCCCAATCCTATTTTTTTTATGTTTTTACAGACAAGATGTAGCTCAAGCTGGTCTCAAACTTGCTGTGTAGCAGATGACCACAAACTCCTGATTTTCCTGTAAGTGCATGGAATACAGCTTTGTGCCAACATGTTTACTCATACAGAGAGTTAGAGGCCAGCCTGGGCTACACAATACATAATGCTGTTTCAAAACAAACAAAACAAAGAAACCCAGTACATTCCACAGTGCCCTCTGACTCTCCTGGCAAGTGAAAAATCAACCAATGGCATCTATCCTCTCCTTGGAAAACTCCAAGCATTCCTACTCCTATCCAGACCTCTATGTCTTGCTTTCTTATTCCTACATGGCTAGTGGTCTTTACAATGCCTAAGTCCTTCAAGTTACTACATTGCTCAGGGCTCTTCCTAGCTGCCTGTAAATATTTTAGCAGTATGGTTAACCTTGTCCCAAACTCAACACCAAGCAAACTCAGAAGAATCCTATACATAGCTATTCCTGTTCATTCAAACCTATTGTTTAAACACAGGGATACATAGTACCAGAGGGGCTGGAGATGAGAATCATGGTTTGGTACACTCTCGAGATAGCACCTGAAATGAATGTGCAGGACTAAGTTTGCAGAAGAGGACTCACTGTTAGAGTCCTCTGCAATTCACTTCTACATGGAATGAAATGCTTACGAAAGGGCAGGAGTGGAGCCAACAGCAACTGCCACAAGAATTGAGCACATAGGGCAACCAAAAGTGTTTTGCAGGAAGAAGTACCTTATCATCAGCATGGGTGTGAACTGCTGGTACACTGAAACTCTAAATAGCAGGTGTCCTTTATTAAGGACAGACAGGGCCTGCACTGAGGTGGGCATCTCCTGACCTACCCAGCAAGAGAATGAGTGCAGCAAGAGAATCATGGTAACATGTGTCAGGTCTTCCCCTCCCCAGGGGCAGAACAAAAACAGATGGAGCCCAGCAAGGCAGTGCTTCATAGCAGAGTTATCAGGCACCGACAAAGACTGTACCAAAGACTACACCCCACTTCAGTGGGACCCATGGGCAAAGCTTCTGGGCAAGAAGATGAAGGAAAGACTGTAGGAATGAATGGACTGAGCAAACAATACGAGGCGAACTTTGAATGTTCTTGGGGATGTGTTATCACTGAGATGGTTAAATTCTACCATCTAGAAAGATACCTCTCACTGTTCACAGAAAGGCAATTTCCAATTTTTCCTCAAAGCAAATGGATATAACTTCCAGTCAGCCATATTTTGAATAGTTACAGATCTTTTTGTGTTGCTGGTGCTTTACCATTTAGCTATACCGTCAGGCTAAATTTTGCGATCCAGGCCAGTCTGTTCATTGATGCCCAGTTTCATTTATTATTAAACACACAGATAATTTAGCTTTTGTTCCCCAGTGGCTGCTAAACAGGTTGGTTGATATTTCAGGTTTCTGAATGTTTCCTTGGCACTTTATTTTCCATCCTGATCACTCCCATTTGTGGTCTTTGTTCTTCTAAAGCAAACTAGTAGTCATTATTTTCTGAGGCAGGGTTTTATTGTGTAGTTCTAGTTGGCCTGGAAGTCACCGAGTACATCAGAGTGATCTTGAACTCAGATCTACCTGCTTCTGTCTCCTAGGTGCTATTAAAGCTATGCACACCACAGGCTTGTAATTCTTCATATATTATGGACATTTATCTCCATGGCTATTTTTTTTTTACGTATTTGTGTGTTTGTGGCCTTTGGTCGAATTTATGTTTCCTCAATTACTTCATTAAAAAAACATTATTTCATATATGTGCATGTTTTGCATGTGAGTATATCTGTGCACCAGTTGTATGCCTAGTGCCCCCAGAGACCAGAGGAGGGTTTCAGATCCCCCTAGAACTGAAGTTACAAGACTATTGTGAGCTACCATGTGGATGGTAGAACTGAACCCAGGTCCTTTGGGAACAAAAAAACATTTTTTTTTCTTTTTTTTTGTTTTGTTTTGCTATGTCCCCAGCCTCTCCACCTTATTTTTTTCCAGACAGGGTGTCTCAATCAATCTAAAGCACACTAATTTGGCTGGGCCAGCTGGAAGCCAATGGACTCTAGTAATCTTACATAAGCTGGGATTATAGCCATGTACTACCATACTTGGCTTTGGTGGGTGCTGTGGATCCAAATTCAGGTTTGAATGCTTGCATGGAAAGCACTTTACTGAGTTATCACCACAATGATGAATTTTTTTTCCCTGTTTTTTCTTTTTTGTGTTTGAGACAGGGTCTCTATGTAGCCCTGGCCGTTCTTGAACTCACAGGAAACTGCCTCTGCCTCCTCAGTGTTGGGACTGAAGATGGGTGCCACTATTTTTGGCTGGTTTCTCTTTTTCTTTTTAAAGTTGCATGTGTGCACAAGTGTGCATGCTCAAATCATATGCATGCAGGTGCCTGTAGAAAGGGAACTGGATTCCCAGGTACTTGAGTTCCAAGTGGTTGTAAGCTGCCGAGTGGGTGCTGGGAACTGAACTAGTCTTCTGCAAATGCAGTGAATGTTCTTAACCACTGAGCTATCTCTCCAGCCTCATGGTTATTATTTTTAATGTAGTTAAATTCTGTAATATTTTTCCTCCAGATCTAGGCTCTCCTGAATTCTCTTCCAGTCTTTAAAACATTCAGCCTTTTTACTGTAGCATGGTGAGGAGAAGTTAATACAGTTTCATTCACAGGGTCACAAGCTTTACTTGCAACAGGCAGCCACGATGCTCTCTGTCCTGCTAAAGGACATCCTGTGTGACTTTCTTCAGCTTACTCCAGAGTGCTGAGATTTAAAGGTATGTGCCACCACTGCCTGGAGCAGTTTAGCCATGGAGCCATTTCTCCAGCCTCAGTACATTGTTACCATTTTAAAGGACAGGATCTCAGTATGTAGCCCAGGCCTCAGCTTCTCAGTGTTGGTATTACAAGCACACACCACCATGCCTCCTTATTTAACTTGCATATTCCCCAGCTCTCTGGCATCTGGAGCTGTATTATGGGTAACTTCTGATCTTCCTTGAAGTTCATTCAGGTCACCAATCTCTAGCTAGACTGGGCTCTGCTGTATTTTTCATTTCTAGAAGTTGTTTGTGCTAGAATCTTCTAGAACATTTTAATAGTCTGATAGTTCTTTGTTCAGCTTTTTGGTTCTGCCCTTTATTTCAGATATTCTTATTTTATAATCTGTTACATATACTTACTGCATTTGAATTCTTCAACATTGTACCAGATGAGGTAGTATACATTTCTAATTTCAGCACTCGGGAGGCTGAGATAAAAGGAGTGAGTCCAAGGCCTTCCAAGCTACAAAGCAAGAACCCATGCAAAAACAAAAGGGCCGAGGGCATAGGGATGTAATTTTGTTGGCAGTGTTTGCCTAGAATGCACGAAACCCTGGACTGGATTTCCAGTACCACATAAATTGGGTGAGGTAACACACATCTATAATCCTAGCACATGCGAGGTGAAGACAGGAGGATCAGGAGTTCAAAGTCATCCTCAACTAAATCTTGAGTTTGAGGCCAGCCTGGGTATATCAGACCCTGTCAATTAAAGTAAAAACAAACAAAAAATAGATTCTTAGAAATTCTATTGTTTCCGTTGCCTGTGACAGCATTTTCCTGAATATACTTGATTAATTTTTCCTGTAAGCTGCTTAACTGATTTCACACTGGAAGAGTCCTGAGAGTTGGGGTGGGGGTAAAAGGACACACACTGTGAAGCAGCCTTGCATGTTTTTCATTGAGTTTTAAAAGATTCATGAATGCTTTTTATTATTGTAAAAGCAGGGGACGCTCCAAGTTCAGGATAAGTTGGCTATAATTCCAGACTCAGTGCCTCAAGGTCTATGGCAGGCCCAAAAGTCACTTTGCCAGCATGAAGCTTATGCTGCTTTTGTAGCCCGACAACTGCAGTGCTTGGCCTCTGAACATCTAAACTTGCATGCTAGTTAATCTGTGAGCAGTCCAGGGAAAGGTTTGTCCAAGGATGATCAGCTCTGCCCCTGGGTAAGCATTTAGCTCTTCAGTGTGAGGTCTCCCACAACATGCAGCCAGGACAGACCTCAAAGTTCTGCAAGGGTAGAAATAGAGATGCATTGCAAGGATGAGCATCTGGGGCCGATGGAGCAATTCTAGTGTGGGAGCTCAACTATTACTTAAAGGAGGGCATGCACCATAGCTAACGTTTCTAGGTAGAGATAGTTTTGAAACAGGTATCAATTGCTATATAGCCCAAGCTAGCCTTGAACTGGTGGTGCTCCTGCCTTAGCACCCAAATATTGTGATTAAGATTGTGTGCCACTATAACCCCTAGCTATTTGTGTTGGAAGGGTTTAAGTGTCTACTCACTTAAACTCTCAACAGAAATTGTACAAAATGATGATCTAAGAGAATCACCTGAAACATGACTTCTTTTGGGATGACTTCAAAGACCTTTCAGCAGCACTAAAAATCTATACAGAATGAGCATGAGATGCAGCCTAGGACTGCACTGACCAGTGCATGCCAGAGCAGTGTACAGGAGGGCTGTAGCTTGAAGCCTGTTTCTTAAACCTCTCGAAACAGAGGCAAACTGAATGGTGGCCTTTTGGACTAATAAATGACTTCCCATTTGTAATCATTCACTGAGCACCCAGTAACTATCATGAACCATAGTGCACTGTTAGCGAGGAAAAGTCTGCTCTAATGACTGCTTTTTTTGCTTTTCCCTGAGATACATCATGGAACAAATAAAAGGAGAACACAATCCTATCAGCGTCCTGCAACTGACTGAGATGGCCTTCCTGGCAGCACTCAGTCTGAGGGGCTTGCTAGAGATCTTGAAGGAACTAGCACTTCTGGATACCAGCATGATATGACACTGACAGCCTCACCTGTCTGAACCGTTCCAGCAGCACTCGAACTTGTCAAAGATGCAGTCATTCTCATACAAGGAGCAGAGCTTGCTTCGTAGGTACTCATGTACCTGGTGGGTCTCGACAGGCCTGCCCTCCATGTTGAGGTCCCATACCTTCACCGACAGATAGTCTCTGGTCATCATGTACCGACCACTGTGGCTGAACTTGACATCAGATATAGACGAGATTATTTCTGAGAAAAAGGATCTACTGCTGGGGTCTTCTGGCTCTTCAAAAACTGAAAAACAAATTGAGTATTTTCAGCTACTGTGCTACATCAGGGGCTTCTCAGGGACCCTGGAGGGCTCAATGTCAGCCTCACTCACCCAGTTTTCTGACCGTTCCATGTACCATTCAAGGTAAAGGCATTCAAATCCATGCAGACCCTGGACCACAGCTCAGAACCTTAGTATGCATGGGAACATAACTGTAGCTGCTTGAATCCTCAAAGCACTGGGCCGGAGACACGTTATGCTGCCTATCTGCCCATATCACAGGAATATATGTAGTACACAAACAGTGCTCCCGGGCCCCTTGAAAGGGCCTGCTCTCCAGAGGGCACACAGTTTGCAGGACTGCCGGACTGCCCCCTAACTTCCTAACTTAAACTAACACAGTGAGTGGCCAGCTACACAATGGGACTACTGGTAAAGAATGTGTCTATTGTAGTGAGTGGCCATGTTCCACCGGGATTTGAATCAAAGAGTATCATCAATTCCTCTGTAGGACTAGCTTTGTCTGCAGCAGCTCAATAGTTCCCTCTACCTGGGACCAACAGCAGAGGGAGGTCTTCTACCCAAGCTACTGGATCTCCCAGGACACAGTCATGCCCATACTATATCATGCTTCAGGCTGGGAGAAACATTTCCTTTGACCGAAGCTTCTCCAGGGTTTCCCTCATTCTCTGTGTAGGAGGTCTGCATGGGACTGGAAGCCAGCTAATGCCAACACTAAGCTGTTACTCAATTAACCTAATGCTGATAAGGACAACTCTTCTTGGATCCTAAAGTTGTTCACTGAGAAACACCATCTGGAAGACCCAGGCTACATACACTGGTAGCAGTTCACTGTAGGAACTGTTAACAACACCATTCTATGATACGCTTTGGCCTTAGGAGGAGCATTTTCCAGTGGACACACTTTTGTCAACCACTGCTGGTTCTGCACACATTTCCAAGTGACTGAGCAAGAGTTGTTTCCCTATTTGCAAAAGTGCCCCAGTATGAGAGTGGGAAGCTACCCTGGACAGTTGCACATAGTGGTTTTCTAAGATGGTGTACCAGGACAACAAAGACCATGGTATGATTTAAAGTTGGGCCTTAAAAAAACAAATAAAAAAAAAGGACACACACAGACACACAGACACAGACACACACACACACTTATTTTAGTTGTGTGTGATCCCCCTGGAGCTGGAGGTTTTTTGTTTTTTGTTGTTGTTGTTGCTGTTATGAAGACAGGGTCTTACCATGTAGCCCTGGCTGAACTCACTAGATATACAGACAGTTTGCCTGGCAATCTGCCTGCCTGTCTCCAGAGTGCTGGGATTAAGGGCAGGGCTTTGTTTTTGCTGTAAAGCTGGGGCTACGGGCAGTTGTGAGCCACTTGATAGTTTTCCACTTGGTAGTGGAAAACAAACTCAGGTCCTCTGCAAGAGCAGTACACACTTAGCAGGTGAGCCATCTCTCCAACTGCCACCCCCACCCTCTTGTTAAGAAGTCTCCTCCTGGTACTTAAGGGATTTTGCCTTAGTGTCCAGAGTAGTTGGGACCCAAGGCAACAGCATTGTATATCCTGGGTCAGTTCTTTATGGCTACAGATAACACAAGTGAAATGCACTCCTGATGGCAATGCTCCACTGGATGGACCCAGGCCAGAGGGAGCTCAGGGCAGATGCTGCGCTAGGTCAGAGTAGAGGAAATCTGCTGGAGTATCTCTTTATTAGCATGATTCATGGGGAATCTCCCCATGCTCTAGGCCTGCAGAGGACATGGAAGATGTTCACCAGCACAGACAGCTAGTTTCTGGAAAATGAGAGTATTTCTAGGAGACTTACACTTGGCATGCCTGTCACACAGGGCAGAGGAGCGCATGTCACACAGCCTGATGGTCCCCTTGCTACTGCTGTAGACCAACACGTTGCACTGGTGTGGGTGGAACTCAGCGGCGGTGATGACTTCTGTCAGCTCCTCCATGTTAGCTGGCTTGATGTCTACAATGTCTGGAGTGTGATGTTAAGGCATAGTACTTGGCCATCCAAGGGAAATTTGGCAGACAACTGTGAAGTAAGGCTTAAGGGAGGAGCTGCAGGAGACTGCCACTGAGGAGTCCATAGCAAAGGGCTTCAGGTAGATGCAGGATAGTGCCTGACTTGACAGAGCACACTGAACGACATCTACAACAAAGGCAAGCAGTGCCATCCATATACATATTTCTACCTATAACTAACTAAAAACACACAAACAGTATCAAATTACAAATGATTTTGCTTTCCTAATTATTTGATTTTAAGAGCTTGCATGGGGTTGCCAGAGCAATACCAACAATGGAGATCAGCCAATGGAAACTAAGAATAAAAATACAGTGTATGAGTCTGCATCTTATCACTGGCTGCCACAACTAAGAGACAGGAACCCAGAGGGACTAGACACAGTATGAGCCTCAAGCTGCCCAGTCAGTGTCAGGCTGCTGAAGAGAGGGGACCCAGTCAAGAGTTTGATGACACCCTCAAGTTATTAAAGAGATGGAAAACTGCTAGGGTTACAGGGTAAAGCACCAGAGAAGCAGCTGGGAACCAAGGCTTTGAGACCTCACAGAAAGTGTGGATAATGATTGAACAAAGGGACAGCAAGGCAGCCTGGTGCAAGAATAAGTACTGTGACTTCTACAGTGACAAGAACTACAGTAATTGGGATCCCACAAACCCCTGATGGCAGAGCAGTCAGGCAGGACGTGAATAGTTCATTTGAGGGAAAGGGGTGGGAGGCACATGGTAGTATTAGGAGCCAGAGGCAAGGCAGAAGCCGATCCAAGAAGACTGAAGGTTTCTTACAAGAACTTTCAGGCAGAGATTTGTATTTTTAGGACACTCAATAGCAAAGACCTTATGTTACCACTGCTCTAGAACATACTGCATCCAAAAGGTCAGTGTCTGAGGGACTGGGCTATAACTGCCCATGAGAAGTAACTGCACAATAACCATAGAAACAAGCAGAGGCAGCACCTGGAAAAGGATACTGAAGCTTCTATCTGTGATTTCTAAATGCCATAGGTTAATTCTCAGATCATCTGCAGAGAGATATGTTTCATGATCACTATTTACTGAAATGGAATTTATGTGATATGTATGAGCATTTGCAAAAATTCGTCGTGGACTTGCTTCTACCATAAGGTCCATGGGCTTCAATATTGGAACCTAAAAATGGAATGGAGAAAGGAATTCAAAACAAAGTCACAATAGCATAGCATACGGTATTTAGACAAGAAAAGGGACAAACAGAGATTTTCAAGTTGTGCAATACCTCAAACCAGGAGAGCTGCTACAGAGGTATAGAGTAGAAAACTGTCTGTTCTCAGTTAACCCTTCTTGTTCCCATTACAGAGTTTAATACAGGAAGGTAAACTGCCCTAACCAGTGTTCTCCAGGTCACCAAGGCACCATTCTCTTTGATGTTCTCTGGTGGCCACAGCTGAGTCATGAGACAGCAACACCTTGTCCTTGTAGTTGAGTGCACAGATCTCTGTTCTCATAGCACTGGTGGTTTGCTTCAAAGTGTCAATTCATGGGCAATAGTGGTGGAATGTATGCATATTAGGGATCAATGGAAAGCATGCAGGAGGCCCTCTGGGCTGAGAAGGGTCTACCCCCTCATGTAGAGTTAGCTACAGTCTGTGTCCTTCATGTAAAGGTCTCAGTGCCATAGTCCCAGAGGCTTCTGGGGGATAGGTTGTTAGGTGCAAAGGGGGAAACAGAGAAGGATGGCCTGGCCAGAGCATTTGTGCCAAACACAGGCTTAAGAGTCAGTCTAAAGGAGCAGTACCACATGAGAGAACAGGAAAAATCTCCTCTCTCTATCATCCAGTGAAGGGAAGTCTAAGGTTCCAGTGAAAATCAAATGCTGGAGTCACTTTTATTGCTGTAACTAGACACCAAGAAACTTGAAGGCTTAGAGGAATCTCTCAATTGAGTCTTCTCTGGCCCAATTCTATAAAAGTGAGCCTGAACAAAAATGCATGGTGATGCTGTTCTCATTTTAGCTTAGGTCAGAGCTGACCATACCCTGGAGTTCCCTAGAACCAAAATGACAGTTCCACAATGTGCAGGTCTAAGACACACACACGGCCATGACCCTCTACTAGTTCCAGCTAACCAAAGCAACAGCAACTGCGCTCCTAATTCAAAAAGGCCCTTTAATTACAGCCCTTTTCATAGAATTCAAATAAGAGTAAAAAAAAAAAATCCTCAAAAGACTAATGTCTCCAGCTTTTGCTCAGGGAAGGCCAGATGGTTCGCTCTGAGCTGTGAGAAGCATAAACCCCAATATGGACCTAAGAATATCAGAGTTGCCAGCCAATGATTCTGTCCTGACACTGTGCCAAGGCAATACCACTCTCTCACATGGTTCACTTTAGCCACCAATCACACAGGTTTTACTCAGGTTAACTCTGCCAACACTAGGCCTGGTAGGACAATAAGCACATGAGCTTAAAGGATATGCAGGGGTCTGAATGAGAGGATCTCAGTGTTTGGGAGGGCTGTGTGTGCAAGCAGGGTGGAGCTGGTGGTAGGGGAGGGAAGACCAGACCAGGAGGTTTCAGAGAACTTGGCACCAGCACATTACACCATGGGAGATTTAAAACAAAATATGCCCATACTAAGTCAGAGATGAAAACACAGCACACTATGCTAGAACTGACTAGAGGTGAAGGATCTGAGTTCCTATGACTTAGGCCTTCTAACACTTACCAGGCTAAGGTGTTAGAAGAGGAAGGCTGTCTTGAAGAATCAGCCTAGTTCTGCCCATCATCATTGTGCAGGGACAGCCCTCGTGGGGCTGTCACCATTCTCTAGCTTTCTCAAGCACATGGGACACCAGAGACCAACTAACCTCCAACTGCTGGGCCTAAGACATCCTATTAGGGAGCAGGTCAGAAAAAGGGCTGCCACATATCAGCACTGGAGACAGCTACTTTCAACTAACATTCCATCACAAAGTCTTAAACTTCACTGAAAAACACTGTTACCAAAACATGGTTGTGCTCTATTCCTGTCCAGGCACCATTTGTTTGCACTGAGCCCACCATAGGTAGAGGAGGAGGAGAAGGAGGAAAAAAGCCTCACCACCCAGTGTCCCACAGTTAGCACAAGAGGAATTTTTACCAGCTCCACTGCTAATGTCTCGCTGGTTCATCAGTCACCCAACCTACACTGTGTTACTCCACCAGCAAGTACTCTGGATTCTACCACAGAAGCTCAGCTGGCCTGTGTCCTTAACGGAAGCTCTGCCAGGAAACTGAACATGAGCCTTTCCCTCAGGACCACCATATTTCTGAAGATTGTGACCTTGGTGACACTGATGAATGCCGTTTTCAACAAGTACATAGCAAGGAAGAGTCTTATCATTATAGATGAGCCAGCAAGAAAAAGTCTGCTATACTTCACGAAACAGTATTCTCAACAGCTGATATAGTATGTTCTGAATTAATTTCTGAGAAGTGCTGGAGAGGTTAAAGAAAATGCAGCATATACCCGTAGTGCCGTAATTCTAAATGGGTCTCGAAGTCGTCCATCTTCATCTTTCAAGTTATAACCTTCTGCTCTTTTATCCCGTTCACTTATTTTCCATAATTTAATAGTTTTATCTGAAAATAAAAACCTTATTCTTCATATTAAAGAAAACTACAAATAACATGTATCACTATTATTGGGCTATTCTAGGAAACTTTTGCCTTCCTAAGTTCGTGTCTAAGCTTGTTAAGAGCGGCCGCTTAGCCAAGTATGAGACTCTAGGTTCAAATCCCTAGCCCTATCTGGGATTATTCAAAGGAATAAGGGGAGATCGATAGTGTAATACATCCAAATGGCCCTAGAAGCATGTGTACATGAGTATTCACCACATATGTAACATATATCACACACACAAAAAAACTTAAGATGTAGAAAAATAAACAAAGTAATTACTGTTTATTTATTTATTTGTTTGTTTATTTGCAGTTTGAATTTCCTAGCTATTAGTTTTCACCTTAGCTGACAAATCATCCTCTCTAAAGTTTAAAGCAGAGACAACCTCTAGAATCAGTTGAGGCAAGAATCCATCCATGCTAAAATTAAAAATAAATTAAACCAAATAGTCTTTTACAATTCTTACCATTTGTAGAGAGTAGAAAATGAGCAGCATTCTGTTGCGGCAACCACCTGATTTTATTAATTTTTTCTTCAATTTCTAGACTTTTCAAATAGTCAAACTCTGGCTCATGACTCTGAAAGGTACTGTAAACATTGTACTCTCCCCTAGAGTGAGTGCGGCCTTTATTCTGCAAGGAAACATGACACCGTCTTTAATGAACAAAGCACAATGCAAATACATTTTATTACCATCAACATGAGCAAATGATCAGACACATTTTTAAGTTAAAAAAAGTTTTGGTACATTAATGCACTTGGAAGAAATACAGGCTCTTCAATGCCTATCTAGGTCTTTTCTGCCATGGACAATAGTTTTATAGGGACATGATTAAACTTGTTAGAGATGTTCTCCCCTCCCCCACCTTTCTCTTTGTTTGCAATTGTTAAATTTGCCCCAAGTCCTTTAAGTTTACAGTGTAACTGAAGTTTCAAGGCCCAAGTCCTACCTCTGGCAGCTCCTGCCAGCTAACCTTGCTTACCAGTTCCAGTATGCCAGTACAAAAGAAAGTAAGACAAGAGACACAGAGATTTAATGTGGCCACATCAGAGGAAGAAGAAAGGTCTGATGGCTAAAGACTCATTTATAGGGCACTGATATGAGTATTAAATTTAAATAGAGAAAAAAAATGGAATCAAAGCGCAAGAGGTATGTGTAGCCTAGCAGTGTTGGTCAGGTTGCTTTTATAACTGTTTCCATTCTGGTTCCTATTGCTTGGACTGGCTCTCAGGAGATGTTGGCTTCTGTTCCGTGGATAATTGCTCATGTCTGGGGTATAGTCCTGTTACCTCTGCTGTTCCCAGAATCCGAAGATAGACAATGACTTATTGTTGTGCTCTAATGTGCTTATGACACAGGGAAGCAGGTAGCCCAAAGCAAATCAATCAAATACAAATGATTCAGAGGTATTACATTTTCATACTCTTTCTGTGTTATGGACCTGCATAAGATAGGCATGTGTTTTTAACAAAAGTATTTCCTAATGTCTGTTGTAATAGGTTAAAGGCATTGTCAGCTCAGGAGTACTCACAGTGAGAAGTAGATTTCTTCCTCTTTTACCAGGGTAGCATTTGAAAAAATGTTCTACAAAGTTACTGCAACAGGACTGAGTGTTAAAAGAAAACCGAATACGGAAAACTATGCTTTCTTTCTGATAAGCAGTATGTACAGAGTGTAGTGATGCCATTTGATTTGTGGACTGTAAAGCACTGACCTCTTGTTCCCGTTGGAAAATAACAACTCTGCCACCTTTGTCTCCTGTTGCAAGAAGGTCTCCAGAGTAGTTAAACTCAACGGTGGAGATGATGTCGGCTGCCAACAGAAGACAGAATCAATCACAACTGATGTTTTTTTCCATGGCAAATATATACATTTCTTGGCTGCTTTCTAGATCTAAGATAGAACCCACAAGTACATGTGAATTCTGAGTCTGATTTCACTGATTCAACACCTGGTGTTCCTGGCATAGATCAACTACCTAGACTGGGCTGTTTTTATTTGCAAAGTAGAATAAGACTTTAGGAAATTATTATGTTTTTAAGATTTATTTATTTAATGTCCACAAGTGCTCTCTCTGCATGTACGTCTTTATGCCAGAAGAGGGTATCAGGTCCCATTATCAATGGTTGTGTACCACCATGTGGTTGCTGGGAACTAAACTCTGGAAGAGCAGCCAGTGTGCTTAACTGCTAAGCCATCACCCCAGCCTCTGAAAAATAATTTTTATAAAGGAAAACACCATAAAACACTCTGGTTGGTCTTAGAAGAATGGCACCTAATTTTAAAATACTTAATGTTAATTTTAAAAGTAAATGATGTTTTATTGTGTGTGAATGTTTGTAGGCATGTTTGTGTACTACATGTATGGAGTATCCTCAGACAGCCAAAAAAAAAAAAAAAAAAAAAAAAAAGGCGTCATATTTCCCTAGGACTCAAGTTATAGAGGCCGCGAGTTTCGATGTGGGCACTGGAAACTGAGCCCAGGTTTTCTCCAAGAGAAGTCAATGCTCTTTAACCACTGAATCACTTCTCCAGCTTCTTTAATTTGGTTCTTACACAACAATAACAGACTGCTTGAAAACTCATACTTCCTGTGTCAAGTATGAGCATTAAAACAGGAATCAATACAGGAAGTATAAGAATTAAAACATTTCTATTATTTTGCTAGCCTCTGTACACACTACAGACAACACATTCCAGTGTCCTACTCGGATGAAGACCATTCACTATCAGTAGTATCGTTTATATTGTGACATATCAGAATCCTCAAGATTTCTCAGGATATACATACACAAAGATTTTAGACATGAGTGGGTTCACAAGAGGTAAAGATCATGGGTTCAAAGATCAACCAAAACAAGCATTGAAAAAGGTCTTCAGGGCTTGTGGCAAGTCCTTAGGTTTAGAGAATAGGTTATAACTGTTTTTTCTTTGTTTGTTTGTTTTTTCCCCCTGTTTAATCTTTTGGCTCTTTGGGGGCCTGCCACCCAGCTCCCAAATAAACACATGGAGTCTTATTCATATTTATGAATGCCTGGACTTAGCTTGGCTTGTTTCTAGACAGCTTTTCTTAAATTACTTATCCTGTCTACCTTATGCTCTGGGCTTTTACCTTTCTCTATATATCTTTTCTTTCCTTCTTTGGCTGCATGGCCGGCCCCCAGCATCCTCCTCACCTTCTCCCCAGATTTCTGTCCCCTATTTATTCTCTCTACCTGCCAGCCCCACCTACCCTTTCTCCTGCCTAGTTATTGACTATTCAACTCTTTATTAGACCAATCAGGTGTTTTAGACAAGGCAAGGTAACACAGCTTCACAGAGTTAAACAAATGCAACTCATCTTTGCATCATTAAACACATATTCCACAGCATAAACAAATGTAATACATCTCAAAATAATATTCCACAGTAGTCAGAGGCTATGAGGGAGGCCTGACTCCTGGAGATCACTCTTACAGCTAGGGGACTGCAGCAGTGGGCTGTGTAAGCACAGGCACTATGGACACCCCATTCAAGACTGCAAACTGGAAGGCTGGGAGTTTCCCCAGCCCCAAGATGTGGAAAGAAATAGGCTCTATGCCTGTGAGTGGGAAAAAAGCTGTCATATTTTCCAGAAAAGGATCTAGGATAGACTCTGAAGGACAGTCTTATATATTTCCACCATATTGCCTGCTGCCTAAATGAAAACAAGGCCCAGTACACACTGAGGCAGCCTGGGCATATCCTGTGGATGGAACTCTGTAGTTCTTGTGGCAGTAAGGATAGCTGATTTTAATCCCAGCACTAGGGAGGCAGAGGCAGTCGGGATCTCTGTTGAGTTCGAGGATAGACTCTAAAGCTACACAGACACACCCTGGAGGGGGGTGGGGCTGTTTACTATAGTTGCCCTGAAGCCCGCTGCTATAGTAAACAGCCCCACCCCCCTCTGTGATCCTGCCCTACCCATTGAAGTAGGAAGTTTGCAGAGATAAACACTCCACAAGTTTGTTGGGTCAGCATCAGCTGACTAGAATTATATGACAAGAGGGGAGTTCAACTAAGAATTGCCTCAATTGGATTGGCCCGTGTAACAGACACACTTTGCAGGGACAGTCTGCATTAACCCATGTTCATGCCTGAGAGGGGGAGTATGGATTGAATAACGGCAGGTAAAAGATACTAAGGAAAAGACAGACACAGAATAGAGTCAGAAGGGCAATCCAGTGAATACTGAACACACCAAGTTTATTCTTTAACATTCTTATATACTCCATCCAAAATGGGAAAATGGCAAAGACTTCTTTATCATGATACAAAGAAGAAACAGACTTTCTTCCTTAATTCTCCAAACATTTAGTAACCATGCCTTAGACTAAATCTCTTGTTATCTGGACTTGAGGGTTAAGAGTAACCACATCTTACACCAAGTCTCTTGTTACTTAAAGAAAACATCCATGACCAAGACCAAACATCCTGTAGTAGCCATGCCTTAGACCTTTATGTTTTATGACTTTAACCTTGGAAGAGTAAGGATAGTTTTGAACTCTGTGACCTTAAGTCAAGATGAACCAAAGTCATTTTTATGGACCACGATAAGCCTGTAGTCAGTCTGTGAAGCGTTTCTTTTTCTTGGTGGTGGTGGTAGGTGTGGGCTGGGGGCTGGGAGTTTACAGGGTCTTTCTTTGTAGACCAGAGGACCTTGAATTTAGAGACCTGCCTGCCTCTGCCTCCAAATGCTGGGATTAAAGGTGCGTGTCACTACTGGGTGAAGCATTTTCTGAATTGCTAATTGATAGTCAAGGGTACTGCTCACTGTTGGCCTTGACTTAAAGCTGGCTGAGCAGGTCAGAGGGAGTAAACAAGCAAACAGTTTCCTTCCAAGAGCTGTTTCATTTCCAACCTCCATGTTCCTGCCCTGGCTTCTTTCAACGACAAGATGAAATAAGCCCTTTCTTCCTCAAGTTTTGTTTAGTAACACTGTTTGTCACAACAACAGAAAGGCAGGCTAGAACACTGTTATAAACACCCTCTCTACAAGCAAGAAATGAGGGCAAAGGTTGAAACTATTGAAAAGAACTCCCAAATGAATAGTTGCAGTTCTTAAGGGTTGTATGATGTATGCTTTACTCCTTAGTGTGTAACACAATGATTTGAGAAATCATGTATTAAAACCAACCAACCAAACAAACAAATAGAATCTAGGCACACCTAGGCCCTGCCCCTTGGGAGCCTAGCATAGTGTATCACATGGCAAGCAGTAACCTGGCTCTATAAGCAGGTGCAAAGGTCTCTTTAAGAGACAAAGCTTCCAGGTGGATCTCTTCGAGGCCAGCCTGGTCTCAAAAACAGGAAAAAAAAGAAAGAGAGAGAGAGAGGGAGAGAAAGAGAGAAAGAGAGAGAGAGAGAGAGAGAGAGAGAGAGAGAGAGAAAGACAAAGCTCCTAGCTGGACAGTGGTGGTGCATGCTTCTGATCCCAGAACTAGAGGCTGAGGCAGGCAGATCTCTGAATTTGAGGCCAGCCTGGTGTGCCGAGAAATCAAAGAGACAAGCTTCTGCTCTCTTCTTTCTGCCACTTCTCTGAGGAAGCAAGTCATTACTTTCTCCCTTCCTTTTCCCACTCCTTTCCCTTCCCCCAATAAAACTTTTCAAGTAACTTGCCTGCATGTCCTTTTGTAGCACCATCTGACTAGGTCCCACCTTGGGCCATATTCATAATACAAACAACAACAACAAAAACAAAAACAAAAACTGACTTGTTTTAAAGGCTATGTCCTATCCCAAGAGTTTCCATTTTATAAGCAGTATAAATAAAGGATAACTCTGTACTTGGGTGGACACTAAACAAACACCATCTGCCTGGTACCACCCACAGATACAAGCTGGGTTGATAAAAAAGGTGCCATCCTGCAAATTTATCAAAGTAAATGAAGACTATAGGAGCACAAGAGCGTAAGTCATCACCAGGAAAACCAAGCCTGATATGCCCCTCAAATGGAAACCATACAGAGGTAGGCACCTAACACCGTGATGTGATGGCCACACACACCAACCTGTCATCTGACCACCTGGTTGTGCAAGGCACCAAAAGCAGAAAACTCCCGATTGTCTCAGGGATTTCAGCTTGGCCTGGTCTATGATGTGACCTGCTCCAACTGCTATCTCTCTCATTCTGTCTGGACCTGCCATTCAACCATTTTCCAGACATTGGGAACCAGATCTGGTTCTATCTTTGCCCCTCCAGCATTCCCATACCTCACTGCTGCAGCTTAACTGACCCTAAGGTGGTGGGCAACATCTCCAGCAGGCCCCTGTTTGAGTATAATCTCTTACTCCTTTGCCTCTCGCTGAATTCTGCTAGAGCCTCTTTATCCCCCGTAGCCATTCTGAAACCTACATATAAGATGATTACTAGTAATATCTAGTGATATACTACATATATTACTAGATGATGTATAATACATGACTTGAGTGTTAATATTCATAATTACAATGGGGAAAAAAGAACCAGTTTGTCTTAACTGGCTGTCAAGGAAAACAGGACTATCTGGCAAACTGCAACCAATGAAACTACCATACCTTATGAATTTATTGTTATTCAATAAACTCTGACACAGTTGAAAGACAGAAAGAAATGCACCTGTCTCTGTTTCTGACAGAGCACTATTAATACTGCACAATGTACTAATCAAATAGTTGCCCTCAGTTTCCTGCAGACATCTCATAACTCATTTGACTGTATGGGTATTGCTTGCTGACCCCACTGTGGGGTCATTTCCTCAAAATGTTTCAGTTAGATGTGGACTAGACTATATTTTCCCCTTTTTTTTGAGAAA